AAGTAGTTGTTTGTTTTTGACCGACTTTTGTTGTTCGTATGGACCGTCCTGCCATCTTTTTTTTTGTTAGGAGAGTTTAGAACTTGGAAACAACATTATTACTAGCCTTTGGTTTATATTGTTCATATGGAGACATAGTGATAGTGTGTTTTAAATTCGTGTCTAAGTCTATAAAACATATTATCATGCAAAAAATTTTGAAGCGTATTGTTAGGTATGTAACGCTCGAAAAATTTTTGACTTCGCAAAAATTTCTAGTATATTTTCTTTGATGGTTTGTGTGTTATTGTGTAAAATTTTGTAAGAAAAAAAATTTTTGTAAGAAAAAAAAAAAAGGAAATAAGGTCATTTTATATGTTTTATTGTTGTACAATATTTTTATAAATTATGTAATAGCAATAGTATATTTTGTATATAAATGACTCATTACAGCACAGCGCCGCGCTTTTAATGTCAACATAGTTACTAATCAATCTGATCAATTTATCTATATTTATCAATAATTGTCATCACGTTGGCGCGTCGCGTAATTGATTATGTATTATTATATTAAATTATTCCCCATAAAAAAAAAATTCTGGAAAAAACTCCAGTTTTTACTCCGAAGAAACTCAGACACGTGATCATTTTTTCTGAAATTTTTTTTTAATTTAAATAGTTATCTTTTATACAGGACGTGTAGACAACTATAAAAAACAAAAAAAAAATTATATTACTGTCGCTTTTGTTGAACAAATTAATTGTAAATACCGAAAATTTCATTAAAAATCAACATCACGAAATGATCCAATTAGAATTCATCAAATTGTCGATCATATCTTCAAAGATATTATTATACGGTATTATATGAGTCATCTGTTTTTTTTTATTTAGTTTTTCTAAGTCTCCAACCTGAAACGTGATTTGTATATCTGAAATATATTAATTTTTATGTTTATGGTTTTTTTTTATTTTAACCTTTACAGAGTTTTATGACAAAAATACCAAGTGTAACTTATGAAAATGGCTGTAAATAAATAATTATTTACTATTGGAATTTACTATTGGAAACGAAGTGCCGCATTAGATAATATTATAGGTTTGACATGCAATTTTTTAATAAGTTACTTATATGTATTAGGATCACGGACTAATTCTAAATATGATAATAGTATAGGATACTACTACTTCAGATTCATCTGACCACGGTATCTGACCAGTAAGCAGTAGCCATATGCCATATTCGCTATGAAGCTACCAGTCGTTAGACCTCATCTTTGGGTTTTTTTATGTGTTCCGAAAGAAATCAAATGCCAATTATACCAGGGCTTTCATTTTGAGAATGGTGCAACCACGTCAATCCAACAAATTATAGAGTCGTTGCAACGTTGCGAAGTAAGGCGAAGAGCTGCTGCACTCCAGTTTTATCTGAATGGTAAGATAATGTAACAGTTAAAATATTCTTTGAATTAATTAATTAATTGGTATTTTTTTTTTTATAGACAGATAGTGAAAGAGGCGGCGTAATTTCTTAGTGATAGTGTACTTCATAAGTCCTGAGATGAATGACAATGGTGTTAATGTTATGGTTACGTTAATCCCTTATTCAATGACAATATTGTCAGCTAACTAGTTTCGTCTTACATTTTTTTTATTTCAATTTCTAACTTAATTGTCCGGTTCCCTTGTATTATCCCTTGTATTATTTTATTTTATCTTATATAAATTGACATATTTTAATAACGATAAAATTAAAAACCGATCTAGTAAAAAAAAACTAAATAATCTTTGACATAAGTTTTTTATAATTCTGCCATGAATTTTTTATTTTTTTCAAAAAAAAAGTTGATCGGTGTCTTTGCGTATCACTAATTATAGCTAGAATAATGATCTGTAAAATGAATACATTTGTGGCAAAGATATACGGCGTTTTTTTTTAACACAAATGTAAATATAAAATAATTAAACTATAATATAAATGGTTTAAAGCAATTTTATTTTTATTCCAAATTTAAGATCAAAGTAATAAATTTTGACGTCTGTTACCGATTTTACTTTTGGTTTTCCCCTGTAGTAAGTCATGTGTTGGGCGATCTACAATGAATTTTTGAAATATTCACATAAAACAATTATTAATAGAACTTCTAAAATTTATTTTTTTTTTCAAAAAAAAAAGTGTTTATATTAAGCATAATTCTATTTTTACAAGTGCATAAATGTATTGTTATGAAAATAAACTAAACATTTTTAATATCTCTTTAATTGGCAATTGCGATGTCCAAGGTTGATGATAAAGTGTACATTTTCTAACTCTTTGATCCACTAACTAGAATCCAGAAGAGTTTAAATTCGGTCTGTATTAAAAATTCACATGACTGGACTCAGAAAGATCATCGGACCGGACTGAGTAAGGATATACTCAAATAAGAGTAAATAAGATTTCCTTAGTGAAATTCTTTTGACAAATAAAAATGGTCGATCCATACAATTATATATTTTATTTATTGTCCGGTAACACTAGTATTATTTTAAGTGATTCGTAACCATAACGATGGACGCTGGATAAATTTTATCAAATATTTTAACTGTGACTGACATCGGATAATTTTATATTTCCATCAAAAATAGTATTTTATGTAATTATTATTCACTAAATTAAAATAAAATGAATAGCAAGAATTTCTGAGGCACGAAGGAAATCTTGAGTTTCACTTGAGGCAGTTTCTTTTTGATTACTTTGATTCAAAAGATAATTTAATTGTTAGGACATGAATTGTTCTGAAATAAATAACTTACGTCAAGACTATATAATTTAATCGAGTATTTACTAAATAGATATATGAAACAATCTTTTTATGATAAGATCGCTAGTATCCGAAAGTGTAACGAAGAAATCATTTATTTCTGCGGCAAAAGTGATACAAAATGTCCGTCCGTCATCTGTGCACTTTTACAGTCGCTAGAATAATCGTTTTAGAGTATTATACATTTATTACACATTATTTTATTATTTTACAATTTTTACTTTCAAACAAAGTAGGGCGAATTTACTAATTTATTCATGTGCTTGTTTACATATTATTAGTTTTAAATAAGGCCGCTCCAAGCCAATTCTTTGTTTAACATAACATAGGGGTCCCAATCTAGGGGGGGGGTTATGTTAAACGAAACATTGAATTGGTGCGGCCTAACTATAATCAATTAATCGACGATGGAAAAACGTGACTGGTACTTTTTGTGTCTTAACAAATAGATATACACAACTGTTGCCGATCAGTTACAAAAAAGTTGCTCCTAAAAATAGAGAAATAAGGTCATAATAAAAATCTTATTGAGCTTTATTTCATAAACTTATAATTCAAAAATAACTACAATAATAATAATATAAAAGACGGATTCTCTTTTATAAATATAATAAACGATAATACTACTTAAAATTATAAACCGGACCCTATAAAAAAATTGGATACGTTTTTTATAAAGTTTTTATACGATTTTTTTTCCTTAGAAATAACGTATCATAATAGGATACGGAAAAATGCACAATTCCGTATCACCAAAAATATGGTTTGGATACGGAATTTGCACGGGATTTATATGGAATTTACATGATTTGATCACTGATTTTATCACGAAATTTATACGATTTGGTCACTGAATTTACTATTTGTATTACAGTTTACTATAATTGTATTTACATAAATCTAATTTCACTTTGTTTATTTTTTATTTTTTATTTAATTTAATAAAGTACAAATACATTATGAAAATTCCCTCTTTATTAAAACCACCTATTGCAACCTAAATTATCTATAAGTTCAGGTTCATTTGGA